CCCCAGGAGGCAGGCAGGACAGACGACGTCGCAGGGGCTGGGAACTGGGCCCAGAGAGACGAGTTCATCACTAAAATGCATCTCTAAGCACGCAGTAGTGACAGCAGCTCTGCCTGCCATCCCTCATGCTATCCTCAGGCTTCCTGGAGCCTCCTTAATGGCCCTGCCACCCCCAGCTGGGCCGCTCGGCACTGTGACAAGGCCATAAACTGCGTGACTGATGAGTGTGAGGCTGGGCGCAGGTGGGAGCCCCATCCGGCTGTCCTGTCTGATCCTGGCCTGCAGCCGGGTTTTGACCCCACACCATCCTTCATGTTTCTGCAGGTCAGATGCAGAAGCCATTTGAAGATGCCTCCTTCGCACTGCGGACGGGGGAGATGAGCGGGCCCGTGTTCACGGATTCCGGCATCCACATCATCCTGCGCACTGAGTGAGGGGCAAGTGGGGCAGGCGTAGTGGGGCAGCTGGGCCCGAAGACCCCGCTTCCTGCTGCCAGCCGGCCCATGGGCGCCCCTCCCTGCTGACGCCACACAGTATTTATTATTCCCGCAATGGCTGGGAGAGGGGCCCTGTACCTTTAGGGGCTCCGTGTCTGCCCCAGGTTGGGGCTGACCCTGCCAGATTCCCCTCCCCTTTAGGGATTGACTTCAGAAGGGCAGTGGGGTGGGGAGGCTCCCAGAGTTCCCAGACCCTGGGGGTGGGGGTGACCTGTCCCAAAGGGAAGGCCTTGTCAGCTGACCTGCCCTCTATGTCCCCCCAGGTCCAGGACGGGGGCAGGAGGGCCTTAACCTTGTTTCTGGTTACGCCATGTGCTTCTGTTCAGTTGCAAAAAGCGAATGTTCCATGTGGGGCCCCAGCTGCTCCTGCCTTGGGGCCCTCTGAGCCGCAGTGCAGCACCCTCCACACCCTCCATTAAACCTGGAACCACTGCTCTGCCGTCTTGGTCTCATTTCCTCCCTGTCGGGCTACAGCCCTCTCCCGCCACCCCTAGTGTCTAAGTGTTGAGGCTGTTTCCTCCCCAAGAAGCCTCTCTTTATCCTGGGCCTGGGGGTGTCCTCCAGGAATTCATCCCAGCAGCCAGACTCCAGGGAAGTGGGATACCATTCAGTGCCAGCAGTCCTCAAACTTGGGTGTTCTAGAATGTTCTAGAATGAGAGGGCCCTGACTTGATCCCCCAGAGCTGGATTCAGCAGATCAGGTAGAGCTGGGGATCTGCGCGGGATCCTTGGGGAGCCAGGTTTAAGCCCCTCTGCCCTAGGTGCTCTCTGCACGCCCCCACCCCTCCACACATGGGCCTCCCCACTTAGAGTGAATGACGCCCAGCACCCCGATGCCTGCTTCCCTTCCACACCACCAGTTCTTCTGGCAGGTTGTGCCTGGGTCCTGCCGCCTCTGCAGATGCTGTTACCATGGCAACAGTGGGGCCAGCCCGGAGGGGAGGGGGCTACTGCCCAGCCCTTGTAGAGTAAGGCGCTGTACTGAAACATGGGAGGGCGCTGTCCTCAAGCAGAGGGTATTCCTGTGGCAGATGGGGAGACTCTCCCTCCTCTTGGGGCACCTGCAGAGTAGGGGTCCGTGGGTGTAGCATACCTGCTCTCCAGCACATCCTCACAGCTGCCCCTGTGCCAGGGTCTGGGCAGGGGGCTCGTTCATCCTGGGGGTATATGAGTCTTTCAGAGGTGGTTATGCCCACTGCACCCCCCTCACTTAATGGGGATCAGTCCACATCATGGAGATGGCAGGCTAACAGCAGGGCTTGGGGGCCTGAGCAAAATAAAACCTTGCCTGGCTTGACCCCAAGGGAGGCCCCCAGAGCCAAGTCTAATAAAGGCCTGAGTCTCATAAAGTCACCTGGGCTGACTCCCATCTGGCAGGTTTCCGGAGCAATCGCTCTCTGCCTGCCGCCTGCTGGAGCATTTGTCATCAGGAAGGTTTAATGAATTTCCTCTCAGTTCTGGCCGGCTGGGGAGAGCCAGCTAGTTGGCTACATCTCCAGGCAGAATCTTCTGTCTCCTATGGGGACCACAAGGTAGGCAGCAAGCAGACCCACTGTTTGTGTCAATAATTCTGTGGGGTGGAAGCGATCACACTCCAACTGGCCCAATGGAGCCTCTGGGAAGGATCAGAAATGAGTGGGGTAGGAGCACTTGTGGAATTCTCCAAGGCGAAGGGGTCCCCGGAGAATGGGCCCGTGCCCTGCTCTCAACACCAAAGCGAAGGTGTCCCCAGGCTCCTAGGCATCTGAGATGTTGCCAGGGAGGGCTATGTATTTTCCTGTGCGGGCTGGCAGAGAAATGGTCTTTGTGGCACTCCCTGTCACTTTGGGCCACTGTGTGTGTCTCCAGATGTGTATGTGGCTGTATGACACTTTTCCCTGGATATGTGTCTGGGTGTGACCCCCCTGCCTCTGTGGACCTCGTCCCCTTCCTTTGTCTAGCTGTGCAGCAGCCAAAACCCAAACATGAAAGAACATTGCTGTTAGATAAACATGCCCCTGGAGCCCACTCACCGTCGGGCTGATTCATGATTCAGTAGCTGTGGCTTCCCTCACCTGCTCCGTGTTCTCCCCACTCCCTCCTGCCTGCCCGGAAGTGGGGCCATAAATCCCAGGCCTTCAGGATGGCAGCACCAGTATAGTCTTCCCTCCCAGCCAAACTCCACCCCAGGGGGCTGGTGTCCACTCCTCTTCCCTGTACACTAGCCCAGGCTTCTGTGGCCACAGGCAGAGCTAGATCGGGTCCCCTCAACTCCGAGTAACACAGGTACTGCCACAGGATGGGCTACAGTGCTTCCCCAATGTAGACAGGTGCACATCCATGAGAGGGGAAGTCACAGCTAGCAGAGGGTGACCTGAAACACATGAGTGACAGATGATCCTGGCCTGGTGAGGAGGGTGGGGGTGTTATTCCTACCCCTCCTTGGTTGCATATACAGTTGACCCTTTAACAATGCAGGTTTAGGGGCATCAATATTCCATGCAGTCAAAAACCTATGTATAACTTTTGACTTCCCCAAAACTTAACCATTAATAGCCTACTATTAACCGGAAGCCTTATGGAAAACAGTCAATTAACACTTATGTTGTAATATGTATTAT